CACAACAAGTTAAAGTAGATGATGTTGTAAGTGAAATTAGAGAAGTAACCTTCGGTGTTCCGCAAGGAACAGTCTTAGGTCCATTATTGTTTAGTTTGTATATTAATTCACTTTTAAAAATGAAAACGGACGGCACTGTTATTAGCTTTGCAGATGACACAGCCATCCTTTACAAGGGAAAAACTTGGGATTCACTAAAAACAACAGCTGAATTAGAAATGCAAACAATAATAAAATGGTTTCAATATAACAAACTTACTCTTAATATTGAAAAAACTAAATACTTACCCTTTTGTTCATACGTAAGTAGCCTACCCAATTTTGGTCCGCTAAAAGTAAGCGATTCATCTTCCATTCCCGAACAGCCTACAATTAAATATTTGGGAGTTATTTTAGACCGTCACCTAAGATGGAATTATCATATTGATCATGTTGTACAAAAAATTAGGGGTTTTCTGTCACGTTTTAAATTTTTATCGAATTATTTAGACATCATGCATCTTCGAATAATTTATTTTTCACTAATCCAATCACAAATAACCTACGGTATAATTGGATGGGGTAGCACCAATCAATGTTACCTAAAAAATATTAACGTTATACAAAAATGGATTATAAAATTAATGTATAAAAAAAATAAAACTTACCCAAGTGATAAATTGTACAAAGAGAGGCAAATTCTTGATTCTAGACAACTATATGCATTACGACTTTTGTTAAACATCTATAAACGTAGGCCAGAATTGCAAACACAAACACATCAATACGAAACTCGAACAAAAAATCTATACTTACTACCAAAATGTGAAAAAACCATGGGTCAACGCAGTCCCATGTATATAAGCACAAAATTACTTAATTGCCTACCTGAACCCATAAGAAACTCAGCTTCGTACTATATTTACAAGAAAAATGTGAAATATTGGATACAAAGTACAGGTGCAACATTTTTTCAAAATATAATGAATCCATGATGTTCATATATAAAACTTAGGTATATGTAGTTATTCCTAAAATTATTATTATTGTTTTGTTTAAGATTGTGTGGAAAATAAATATAAATATAAAAAAAATATAACAGACTGCAAATTTTTATCTAGCCAGTTTTAATTAATTTTATTTTTTATAATCTTTATGTATCATTGTAGTTATAGTTATTACATTAGTATTATTATTGTTATTATTTATTATTATTAATTATTATTATGCTTCCCCGCACACAGACACAATCGTGTCTCAGCGGATGTATGAATGTTTATTTATTATTTTTTTAAACTTCTGTATCTACTAAAATGTATTTTTTCTTTAAATTGAATAAACATTATTATTATTATTATTATTAAATATTTCAGAATGAAAGTAGTGTCATTTGACGAACTGCTAGCGCAGATTCCCGAACAAATACTTTTTTCGCTATTTTATTTCAATTAACTGTTCGATATTTGAGGTCGGTCTTGAATATCGTATATAAATTCATCTATATCAATACAACTGTCGGAGAAATTTTTTCACTGGAACTGTCGAAAAGTTAACATGAAACTCCAACTCTCAACTGGCGTTTCGCACGCGACTTGACGTTTGTATGAGTGATGTTCCATATGAATCCATGATAACGCTGGCCGCGTGCGGCAGGAAAATCGCGTGCTTGTCATTTCTAATTTTCAGCGCGTGCGACCACGCGACAGATCCGCGTTAATGGGCTTTGAGTCATTTAAAAACATCTAAAGTATTGCCGCGCGCGATGCCTCGCGATCAGTCGCGCGCGACGTGTCGTATGAGTGGGCTTTCCTTTTAACTGGGGTGTCGGCTGCGGGTTCTAAGGAAAACACTTGTAAAAAATGGTTGGCCAGAGCTTCAACTGTTTCTTGATCATTGTTACATAAGATTTTATCCGTTTTTTTTAAGAAGCGGGACTGATACTTTGGAAGATAGAGAACATCTTACGTGTATAAATAGCTTCTTAGGGTTATCACTACGTATTCTCTTCTTACGTTATCAATAACATTGATTAAATCGTTGGCGAAACGTCGATGGTTAACAAAATCATCATGTTTTTTGGTTGTTTTAAAATTTTTCCAAATATTTTTCTTATGTTTAATTAAAGTTAAAAGTTGTCCATTGATCCAGGATTTTAATTTGTTTCGAAGACATTCTTTTTTTGTGTTGGCCTCCATAATTTTAAATATCTTTGTATAAAATAGTGCCAACATATCTTCTATTAATACAGTACTTTTAAAGAAGTGATTCCAATCAATTTCGGAGAGGACTCTCTTTGCGTTATTAAAGTTTCTGATACTGTAGGTTACGTGCCTATCGAGATTAGGATTTTCTATGTTAAATTGCAGAGTTAAAGCTTTTTGATTTATCAAAAGCGGGTAGGTTCGTTTTTAAGTTGTTCAAGATTGGAGTCTATAATACAATTAGTAACGTGTGAAATAGAGTTTTGCGATACTTAAAGACCTGCAGTAAGTGGTCAGAAAATTTTTGGGAAGTTGAAATCCCCAACCACCACAAGAATGTCATGAAAAATAGATAGGTTTGAAAGTACCTAAAAAAAGCTGTTGGTCGTTTTCTAGAGAAGTTTTCTTTGGAGAACGATATAAACATAACAGAGTGTTTGAGAAAAATTTGTATGATAGTTTTATTGAGATTAAATCTATATTAGGAATCTTGATATCTAAAGCGGTGACAGAGTGAGTTGAAGTAATAGATGAGGCTAGGTAGATGCAGACCCCTCCACCAACACTATTTTTGCGGTTGATTTGTAAATTGTAAATCCAGGAAAGTTAATAAATGAATCGGGAATAGACAACTTGAGCCAAGTTTCAGAAATTAGAATAATTGCTGGGAGAAAAATGTTGCACTGAGTATAAATAACTATTGAATTTAGCAGTTAGAGAACCCAGGTTAGTATACATAAGGGTCCAATCGTTAAATTGTGGAGGTTGTCGGCTAGCGGGATTGAAAGGAATTTGTCTTCGCAATTTTTGGAATACCGTTATGATATTTAATTGTTAAGTAATTTTCTCCATTCCGCTTTTTACCTTTTAATTCATCTCATAAGTCTTGAAGAATCTGTTGTTGGGCAGTGGTTTTTGTCGTCGATAATGGTAACGTTTTTCGATGTTGCTATTTCTAAGACTTTCTTTTTGTTTTGTAAAACGATTTTGGCGGCGTTTTCGGAGGGCATAATTACTTTGAGCCATCGGGGATAGCGACTATTTTGTTTAGCTTTTCTAACGCGGAAAAAAGTGACAAGTTGATCGGAAGAATTCACTGCCTTCAGAACATTATTAATTTCTGTGAAGTCGTGTCGCTTTTTTTCCTCAATATTTTCATTAATCTTGGAAATAGTATTGGCCAATTTGAGACGATCGAGTGCTTCATATGCCAGTTTATCAAAAAAATTTACTGATGTTACTTCATCAACCTTATTTAATTTATCCTGAACAACGAAAACTTGGAGTCTAATAACTCAAATTTTGATTACAGGTCTAGTTTAAACGATTCAAAGAGAGCTTTTATGTCGCCAAATTTACCGAAATCTAAACTACAATTATTGCAGACAATTTTAATTCCTCGTACTTTATTTCGAGTAACGGGATCGTCAGTCGATATCTCGGTACAGCCAACGTGTAAGTGCCTCTTGCGACCATTGCTCTGTAGGCTGCTTTGGTCGCGATACGACACTGTATGAAACAATTCGAGTAAATGCTGGTATGACAAATATTAAGAATGTATGTCTTACCAGTTGAAAAACAGAGATCGATTAAAAAAAGCACAGCGCAAAGTCAATTTTAAAAAGTGTAACTTATTGTAAATGAAATTCACTTTCTTGCAGAGTAATTATCTAATTTAAAACTTCTTGTATATGTACAAAAAAATAAACAGTAATTTACAGAGTGATTTGGAGTACGTGCTGCCTTTACAAAATGTAGACATAAGATGTTGGAGGATATTTATATTGAGGAAAACTGAATTTGTGGGAAAGAAAAGTTTATAATTAAAGAAGAGTAGTTACTAGATATAACGAGCTGATGCGTTTCGAGAATGAAAGTGTTAACATTTTAACAGCAGAATTCTTGCCAGATAATAACAAAACTCGAGGAAAAGCTCCAACTCCAAGAAATCGCATGAAAATATTTTTACGCTACATTGCCGATCTTGGTTTTCAGAATAAATTACCCGATGAATTGGACGGCTTTCTGCAGAAAGGAACCAACCTACATAAACAATTTTTCTTAAATATTCCGGCATTTGATCCACCAAATAGCTAAAAATTTTCTGCAAAATAGAACCAAGCCACTTTTGCATATATGGCTTCATCTACTTGGTATTGAACCAACCAACATACAAGATTTTAGTGATGTATAGTCTGCAGAATAGACTCAAGTGTCTTGGTTCTTTAATACAGAATAGTTATTGGTCCATGGAATAGATCCAAGTGGGTTGGTTCTTTTCTGCCAAATGACTGATTGAAATTGACGTGTCCACGTGTTTGGTTTTTGTAATTTTTTATGTGTTTTTTAAGGTTTATTTTGAGTTTTAAAATATGTGCACTGTGTAGTGACAACATTTGCAGCACCTTGCAGTTATGTATGGATCTAGTAGGGCGAAATGTATCTTAGAAATGGCAATCTCTGGTAATAGCAAGGTAAACAGTTGAAATTACTTTTTTTAGGTTAGGTAATTCAAAAAAATATAGTAATAAATAACTTCTTAGGAAGCGAACAAGTAAAAATCTTATGTGTCCTTATACGGATCCATTTTGTTCAATTATTTTCAATTATTATTTATTTTTTGTATAAGATTTTGGGAAAAAATTGGTTGGTTCCTTTCTGCAGTTTAATGAAACTATTATTTTACCGATTTTTTATAGGGTGAATCGGGAGCCCTATCTGATACGCAGAAAATACGGTTGCCAAAGAAGTGTTTTCTATTGCAGTTATTTCGGAATTTATGAGCGATTCTGAAGAATATCAGAAGAGCGAACCACAAAAATGGATATGGATAAGACTTGTGCCAATACTAGCGCGGTAATTTTAATTGAATTTTTACCAAAGTTAATTTTTTCTGTATATCAAGTGATATTTTTATAGGTTGTTGTATCCAATATGGAGCAGACTAGATTTTCCATCACCGCTGATTGTGAATCTATCACTGAACCGAATGACTATGGTTCAGTTGGACAATCTGACGTGGTTCCTTTTGCAGTTATATCAAAATTTATTAGTGATTCTGAAGAATATCATATTTGCGAAACCCATTCATAAAACGATAAAACTTTTGATTCAGATGATGAAATTAAATTGGTTCCTGTCGCAGCTAGATCTGAATTATTAATAAGTGATTCTGAAGAATCTCACAAGTGCGAAACTCAAAGGGAACTGGAGAAAATTGCAGGAACTAGCCTGGTAAATTTATTACTGCAGACAAAAAAATCTTTACATAGTCATTTTTGCAAGTTGTTATGTCAGATGTTCAGGAGACTGGGATACATCCTGTTATAAACGATACTGAATATATTAGTGATCCCGATGGCTATGATTCTGATCGAGATCCTGAATATGAAGTTTCTCCTAGATCCAATACGCCTTCTACTTCAGAGTCAGAGGCACGGCATGAGTCTGAGTTAGAAGAACCAGAACATAACGGAATTAGTTTAGATATTCCAAAAGGAAGAGCAAAAAAAGGCAGAAAAAGGAAGTACTTGAATATGACTAGAGCGGAAAATAAAAGAGCAAAAAACAGCAACGAACTTCATTTTGATTATAAAAGAAAGGCTATAGAGAAGAAAACATTTGATGAAACTTTTAAATGTAAATGTTACAAAAAATGTCACATAAAAGTAAGCACGGATGAAAGAAAGAGAGAATTTATTAAATATTGGGAATTGGGTAGCTATGACGCCCAAACCGCCTTACTAGGAGCGTTGGTTAGTGAGGAACCTAAGAATAGAAAGTATGAACAAAATATAAGGTCAAGACAATTTTCAACACACTACAAGCTGAATAAAACCGCGATGTGTGCCGCGAGACTTGTATAAAGACCTTAGGCGTTTCAACAAAAAGGATCGACACAGCTTTGAAAAAATTAAGAAATAGTAGTATTACTGATAAGAGGGGAAAAATCAAGGAGGAAAAAACAAAATTGATGCAGAAAGAAAACAAAAAATAATAGAATACATAAATGCAATACCAAAGTACAAAAGTCAATATAGAAGGGAGGAAAAGCCTGATATTCAATTTTTGCCGCCAAAATTGACACTTCCGTTAATGTATAAAAAATACAAAGTGGATGCTGAGAATCCTGTAAGTTTTGTTTCTTATAGACGATTTTTCTTTTCCGAATTTAATTTAAAATTCAAGCCTTTAAAAAAAGATACTTGTAATACATGTGACACATTTAATGCACATATTAATAATACTTCAGATACTGAACAAAAGGAACACGAATTATATATAAAAAAATGGCAAAATGCAAGAGAAAAGATGAACGAAGATATGTTGAAGGCAAAAAATACTGACTGGTTAGAATGTTTGACCTATGACCTTGAGAAAACTTTACTCCTACCCAGATTACCGACAGAAATTTTATTTTATAAGAGGCAGTTATGGCTTTACAATTTTGGAGTACACAGTGGGTCGAACAATAAAGGATACTTTTATATTTGGTTGGAAAATGAAGCAGGGCGGGGAGCTCAAGAAATTGGCTCCTGCTTATTCAAGCATGTTATTGAAAAAGTTCCTTCTAATGTTAGAGAGTTAATTCTTTGGTCCGACTCTTGCGGATGCCAAAACCGCAATATTAAGATGACTTTAGTAATAAAGACTCTACTAGAGTCTCATCTATCTCTCCAAAAAGTTTCCATGCGATTTCTCGTTTCAGGCCACAGCTTCTTACCTAACGATTCCGATTTCTCCGATGTGGAATGCGCTTTAAAACATCAGCAGCGACTTTATCTCCCTGATGATTATATTCGTGTAATGGAAGAGTGTCGCACAAAAAATAAATTTGAAGTTACACGCATAAAATCAACAGAATTTTTTACAACCGCAGAAATTGAGAAACAAATCAATAATCGAAAAACTGACATTAACAAACAAAAGGTTAGCTGGCTCAGGTCCCGAGAAGTTTTTGTTGACAAAAGCAAACCCTATTCAATATGTTTTAAAGAAAATTTTGAGGATATAATATAATAAGTCACACATGAATAAGTAAATGAAATATATTTATATACATATGAAACTCTTTAATGCATCTAAATAGAGTGTAGAATTTTAAACGTATGAAAATGTTTGTCCATTATTTTTATCAATATGTAAATTAATGGGGTGGTTCCTTTCTGCAGAAAGCCGTCCAATTTGGAGTGGAATGCTCTTCAGTGAGTAAATTTATAAACTGCATTATGGATCACATTCTTGAAACAGCACATAACTGGGTCTATTTCCCTAACAGAGTTCAAGAGGTGAACAATACAAAATTTTTATGGCAGACCTGATTTGATTAACCAAACGTTGTGGGCTCATTAAATTGTTAACATTAACAGTATTAATTTTCGAGCAACGTGTGATGCACCAAGAAAGGTTTACAAGAATTTGCACGGAATGGCTAGGCTCAGTACACGATTAGAGAATATGGCGGCGCAGTAAAACTCGCGATATCATTTCTCAGTATGACGATAGAGCTAGTTTGATTGTTGATACCGGCTACGGTATAGCACCACGGCTTATTACGCCTTTCAAGTTAGCTCAAACTGTTATTAAAAGAAGATTAAATAGCAAACACGCTTTAGAAAGGGTGATAATAGAAAAAGTATTTGACAGATAAAAAAAAGGTTCTCCATCATACACTGATAAAATTATTTATTTGTATTAAAAAAATATCTTTTTACTCAAATAAATATTTGTTTCCTATGGTCCAAACTAATATTTATTTGATAAATTTTAAGGATTTTTTTGCCATGTGTACCCTTAAATAATTTGAGATAAATAAATCGATATTCCATTATAATAAACTACTAGTCAAAATCAAACAAATACATATTTGTCCTAATCACTAACTGAAAAAATTAAACAAATAATTATTTGCTATGAATGTCATATAAATAAACACTTATTTAATCTTATTCACTTTGTGGAAACATCAAACATTTATTTATTTCCTCAAATCCATTCAAGTGTAAAATTCAAAGACATATTTATTTGCTTCAAATCACAAACAAATAAATATTTATTTAAATTTATTTATCTATTGGAAAATTCAAACAAATAATTATTTCACTCTACTACCACAGAACAAAACTCAACGAAATATTTATTTGCTTTAAATGTCCTATAAATAAATATGTATTTAATAATTAGCACATGTTAGCAAAATCAAATAAATATTTATTTCATAAAAAATTTTTAAGAACAAAAATCAAATAAATATTTATTTCATCATACTTTTTTGCAAGCAAAAATCAAATAAATATTTATTTCATCGTACTTTCTTGCAAGCAAAAATCAAATAAATATTTATTTCATCATATATTCTTAAAAAACAAAAATAAAATAAATATTTATTTCATCATATATTCTTAAAAAACAAAAATCAAATAAATATTTATTTCATCATGTCGTCCTATGAGCAAAAATCAAATAAATATGAATCTACTTTTAAATGCCAGATAAATAAATATGTATTTAATGCTAATTGCCTAATGAAGAACTCAAACAAATATATATACTTTATCACCCTGTAGAATGAAAACGAAGACTTTTACAGGAAAATTATACTTTGCTTTTCTTAATAATTGGTTAATATTTACAAGTCCCCCAGTTTACGGTAATTTATTCTGCAACTCCCTATATATTTATTTGATGAAAAAGCAACAAAAGTTCAACACAAAATTCAAATGCAGACCAATAAAATTGTTTAAAACTGCAAAATACCCAATTTCAGAATGTACGACCCTGATTCATTAAAATCCTTAAACAATTCCTTTCTGACCATATACTCCTCCCAGCATTGGATTAGAAAATTTGTAATACGTGAGAAGTTTGTCAATAAATACAAATATTCTTGATGCACACAGGAAGAAAAATTTAGGAAATCGGTGCTGACATAACCATGATTTACCACTATAATACAATTTTCAGATAGAATTAGTAAATATCAATTCATCATAGAAAAAAAAATAAATTTGAATGTACTACCTTTTATTGTTAAATTTGCCGCTTTAATTATTAAATAAATTTCTAGTAATGTAGTTTTTTTATAGTTTGTGTTGAGTGTCAGGGTCAAATATAAATTTAAACGAATATAAATCTGTAAAAAAAATATTTTATTAATGTTAACTATAAAAGTGCATGTTGTGTGATACATTGCAAAACTTATACTAAAAAAACTAAAATAAACTTATGAGAAAGTTAACCTAATATCAAGATCAAAACAAAAGTATTTTCTAAGTTATGAAATAATATCTAGTCAAGATCCAAAAAATATAACCAAAGTATTATATGTAACAAACATGAATAGGTACAGGGACGACAAAAAAATATTCTTAAAAAGTTCATAAAAAATTTACGGAAATTAATTTTGTGTGACGGTAGAAATTAAAAAAACTATAAAGATTTCATGCTTGTATTTCCATAGCCTGTAAATCTGCCATTACACAAATTTCACTTTCGAAAATGTTTTGGTCAAAATCATATATTTATACGTTTTACATGTTCTGTATAATTAACATGAAATTTTTCAACCACAAGAAATAGTCTCTCCGAATAACAATAAAAATTAAAATGTTTAAAAAGAAATGTAATCTAATTTTACTACACTTACCTACATTCACGGTTTAAATGATTCAACAACAAATTCAATGAAAGAATAAGCCAACGCCCAGCCTTGTATTGAAAATAAGTAAACATGTACTTTTATTTCAAATAATGTTTATTCAAATATACCTATTCTGAATATAGGTGATTTAGATTAAATAATTTTATTCATTTAAGTATTTGTTAGAAGCAAATATGGCGGCAAACGGCTTCTTAGAAAAGTACCGGTTTAAAATTACCTACCTATTTTTACATTTTACCTGAATAATTCACTAAATATTAATAACTATAACAAAACTAAAAAATAACGAGCATAACTAATCGATTCTAAATATATAAAAAAGTATGTTCTAAATTTACAAATTTTCTTACCAGCAAATATTTCCCATAAATGTATTAATTTCCATTGAACCAAGAGTGTTTTTATATCCATGTGAATGTCCATTTTTTACCGGTATAAGGTAATAATACTATGGTATCACCTAACACGTAATAAATCCGCAAATAGGTTTTAATGTTTTATTAAAATTTCACTGCACAAAATCCACCTATCACTTTCAGGCCCAGAACCCAGAACAATATGAGAAGAATCAAAGAAATTAGTAGATTATGCTTATTCTTCAAATTTCAAATTCACTTTCCTTCGTTTCCTGTCTAAGCTTGTCTCTTCTTGTCTCAAGCTCAAGCCCTCCCTACTCCCTACTTCCTAAGCCAAGCAAGCCTTACATACAGCGTTGCCAACCTGTGGAAATTTTCTCATATTATAGGAAATTTTACTACAAAAATATGGAAATGGGAAAAATGAAAATAAACTTACAATATGGAAATTATGCTCGACCACGTTGATTTTGATTGATCTTGGGCGTTCTCGCTACCTACAACTTTACACCTACTATTCTTTGCTTTTCATTTTTTGATGAGTCGTTATATGTTAACAGTGTATTTCATAAAGTTGGATTCATATGAGTATTTTTTTTATTTAGATACCAATACAATTGGAAAAAAAACGTCGCCGGCAATCACTTCTGTTTATTCAAAAACTTAAATTAATCCAAACGTGGCTTCTGACATTAGTTAAAAGTACCTGTCAAATTTGCAATTTTTTTTTTAGGAAGTACCTAGTTCAAGAATTATCTTTTTTGAAATGAAATGTATGAAAACGAAAGTGGGAAAAAATTGTGGAAATATTAAAATTTTGTGTGGGGAAAATTGATTTTTTTTGTGCATG